TCAATTTATCAATCCATGATCACATGGCTCTTGGATTAGGTCTCAACCCTCTCCAGATCATCAGTTGACCTAGGGTTGACCCAGTCAAACCCTAATTGCATCAATCATGACTGAGTCTTCTTAATCTTACACACTGACCTATCTAGGCCTCATGGTGGCTTTCAAGACATCTCATAAGCTCTCTCAAGGCTTCAAGTCTATCTTCATGGCTTCAGAATCATCTGATGTTCCCATAACTCTCAAGTTAGGAGGCACACACTCTTGGTTTCAACCACTCTCTCTGGGGATCTTTTAACTTCTCTGACAAGGATATCAACCCTTGAACACTTGAATAAGCTTCTTAGCTAGCCTCAAAGTCTTGCATAGCCCTTGATTGGTACTCATACCTCTTGATCTCCTGCACACATGTCAATGACATGCAAATGATAATGCTAATGTGAATGAAATGAAACATAAGCTAGGTAAAGAAATTTTGGGCAAATTTTGGGGTGCAACACCAGCGAATGTTCGCCAGGCAAGTGCTGGCGAGCTAGAGCGAGTAATTCAGAATTAACTCCTAGACTTAAAAGATAGGAAGTTCGCCAAGCGAAGGTTCCAGCGAAGCTTCGCTATCGTTCGCCTGGCGAAGGTGCTGGCGAAGAAGTGGTAGCTTTCCTCATGCAAATTCCAGTAGCAAAACCACCCAAAGTTCGCCTGGCGAGTGAGGCCAATGAATGTTCGCCTGGTGAGTGAATTGTTCGCCTGGCGAATGCATGATACCTCAGAGGGCGGTTTGCTAGCCAGAGGCACTTTGAAGTGCCAAGTTATTTTTGGTTCTCCTGGCAAAGTTCATGGTTCGCCTGGCAAATGTGCGCAGACAGCACTTCCTTTTTACTTTATTGGTTGCTTTATATAGCCCATACCATGCACTTGGAAGGGGAGGAATCTTGTAACATAAGAATAGAGCTCTAGAACCCTAAAAACATTAGTTCTTCTTCATTTTTCTATTTTGTGTGGAATCACATCCTTCATCGATTCTTCGAAGTGGATGTTCTTCATCTTCTCCATTTCCTTCTTGTTCAAGATACCATGAGAATGAGTGGCTAAGTTCTTCTCATTGTCAAGGTTAGATGTAGGTGATCATCAACCTTTGTATGTAAATGTATTGATCTTCATTTGTATTTTAAACTCTTGGATGATGAATGAATGATGAAAACTTTGCTTTATTGAAAACTCTTTATGTTGGTTTATGATTGAGAGATATTTTCCAACTCTTAACCTAGGTTTTTCTCCATCTTTATTTTTAAGCTAGAGATAGTTAACAATGAAGATGTTCACTTAAAATGTTAAACTTTAATGTTATCAGTTTGATAGATTGTGTGAGAGATCAACAATGGATCAAAACGGTAAAACCCACAATGTGAGTTAGACATAGTCACATTGAGAGGATGTTGAGAATGAGTTGATTATCTAGATGGAGTTTATAAATCTTGTTGATTAAGCATATGCATGCAAAGTGATCATTGAAACCTAACTTTGGCAATCTTTCTTTAAATCGTCAAACCTTAATTTTTGCCGTTGTTTATAACTTTTTATGCAAGATACCGTTTTTAAAACCAAACCCTTTGTTACTATAAAACTACGAATTTAACAACTGTAGTACGGCGGAAAAATCTTATATTCCCTGTGGAGACGATAATAAAAACCCGACACTTTACAATTGTCCCAACAAAGTATCGTCAGCCCTTTCTCTCACCCCTGTGTGATTGAGAACACCCCGGTTATCCGTTAGCCTGAACTACGTTTGCTCCAATCTTTCACGCTGTGTGAAAGTATGTAGGCACAAGATGCGATATCTCGGTGAGAAACCTTCCCCCTCTGTTCACCCGTAGTTAGGCGAACTACGTTGACTCTGATTTCTCGTTCAAGACGGGAATACGTAGGCATAGAACTGATGTGTTCTGCCGAGTCATTTTCTTTTCTTTTCAGGCCAGACTTTTAGCGTAGATAGATAAACCAACTCGTCAGATAAACATAACAAGCATGGATCCCATTGAGTACGATGGACGTGAGGGGTGCTAATACCTTCCCCTTGCGTAACCGACTCCCGAACCCAGACATGGTTGCGATGACCTTGTCTTATACCTTTTCGTCAGGTTTTTTCCGATCGTTTCCTTTCCCTTTCTGTGGGATAAATAACGAAAGGTGGTGACTCTTCTGTTTTGTCGGCACCTTATTTTCGCAGTAGCGACAGCTGGCGACTCTGCTGGGGAAATTCTGACGTCCCCTATGCGAGACAATCTGGGGATCCAACGTCCCCTACGAGAGTCAATCCTAGTGCTTGTTTACTTGTCTTCGGGTGTTTATTTTTGTGTTGTATTTTGTATACTAATGTATTTACATTTCCCGCACTATATTATTATCTATTGCTATTGTGCTGTTGTGGGAGGGGAGCTCTGATGAGTGATAAGCCAGACCCAGGCTTGAGTATACCTAGCATTAGTTGTGGAACGTAATAGGCGCGTGCATGCTTTGCATGTACTAGTGTCTCACAAAATCCACGCTCAGACGAGATTCTCCTGGTTGACTTCTTCTCCAGCCCTTTGGGCTTGAAGGGTTGTTGGTTTGGAGGGTTGTCGACTCTGGGGACCGATCATTTGTGACTCAACTGAGTGAGGCCGCTTCAAGAGATGATGATGCCACACCTTCCTGGGTATCATATCATCGTTTCTTGAAAGCCTGTGATGCTGGCAAACACATAGGATGCCATACCTTTGTCAGTTTAGGTCCATACCTATGAGCAGGTAGGATTTTTGCAGGAAACTTGACTTCCAGCCTACCCGGTATTTTGGTTTTCTCTCGCCAGAGCAAACTTATCTGGTCAGTAGCGCAGCAGTATTCAGAGCTTTATGGGGGCTGTGATCCTGCGTTTGTTTGCATCTTGCATTGCATTTCATGTGCATCTCATGCTTGCATGTCCATCCTCAGCCGGAACAGAAAGTTTACCCGTCTTTTGTCCAACTCGCAGTTGAGTTCCCGACATTCTCTTTGGACTTGAGTTAGTTTCTGGAAGGATCATGAACTCCGCAGAGCAGAACTTGGTTGTTACCAGGGCAGAGTTTAAACTGTTGAAGGACCAGTTGAGTCAATTCAGGGAAGTTGTGGCAGCTATGACTAGAGATGAGGCCAATGATCAGAGGATCTCGGTGAACAATGTTGCTCAAGCCCAGCCTGTGCAGATTCCTGCAGAGACAAAGATGCATCTTCTCTCCATGACACAGACTATCAGCATTTCACTTTCCCTGTGCCAAATCCTCAGAGGATTGTTCTGAAGGATAATGCTGAGGACCGGCAGACTGTTGAGTTTATTGGAAGATATCAGTTGTTGGAGGAAAAGATTGTCGCCCTAATGAGTAATAATACTTTTAATTTGAATGCTGCGAGCATGTGTTTGGTGCCAGGTCTTGTGATGCCTCTGAAATTCAAAATGCCGAATTTTGAGAAATACAAAGGGGATATTTGTCCGAAGCTACATTTGGTTATGTTCTGTAGAAGAATGACTTCAAATGTTACCAACGACAAGCTTATGATTCACTGTTTCCAAGATAGTTTGATCGGAGCATCTTTGGATTGGTACATGCAGTTGGAGAGTGATAGCATCAAATCATGGTCGGATTTAGCCAATGCCTTCGTGAAGCAGTACAACTACAACCTGGATATGGCTCCTAGTCGCGTGCATTTGCAAGAATTATCTCGTGCGGAGAAGGAATCCTTTAGGGGGTATGTGCAGAGATGGAGAGAATTGGCTGCTCATGTTCAACCACCGCTTCTGGAGAGAGAAATGGTTGACCTCTTCCTGGGTACTCTGAAGGGCCGTTATTATGACATAATGTTCAGTTGTGGAATGGCAAGCTTTGCGGACTTGATAAGGGTAGGAGAGCTTATTGAGAGAGGGCTCAAGAATGGAAAGACGCGAGATACTCCTTATATCCCAGTTGATAAGAATGGATCAGTTGTCAGTTCCCAGGAGGAATGGGAAGGAGGAAGTGATGTTGTCTCAGAATCTCTAGCATCTCAGGCTCAGTTTTCAGACGCTTCAAGTGTTCAAAGTCAACAGTCATATCGTCGTCAGCTGCGTCAGCACGCCCGACGAAGACGAAGGAAACTTGAAAGGCAGTTTACTCAGCTACCGATGTCGTACAGTCATTTGTTGCCATATTTGGTCAAAGGTGGGCTGATAGTGCCGAAAGATACTAATCCAATGATCCCGATCTGTACGACTCTGAGCTTCTCCACTAGAACTAGTAGGGGACTGGGCAGATGCAGAATCTGAATTTCCACTTGTTTGAGGTGGACTTGACTGATGAGAATCTTGTTGTGTCCATGGATAATCAACAGAGCTAGTGCCAATATTTGTAGAGACTGGTAATATTTCTAGATCTTCCATGCCATCATCTGAGTCAATATATATGTCATTCAAATCAAAAGTATTCATCTTTATTTGGGCACTAATATCTCTGACCTCTGAGTAAATTGGGGGACTGTTTGAAATGCTGGGTTTTATTGAAGATACGAGCTGATGATCAACAGTCCTAACATCATGAGAATGCATAATTTCTTGTTGCATTTTATTCATAGATACAGTTTGGTGTTGTTCTATAACAGTTGGAGAGAAAGAAAACACACCATTTATACCAGATAGCTTGGATAACTGTGATATTGCAAATTTTGCTTCGGATACACTCAGAAGCCTTTCAAATCCCTCGGATAACTCTTGACATTTGCTTCCGTAGAATAATGCATCGCCAGAATCATCAGTCTTACCACCATTTGTCTCAATACAGGATTTGTGAAATTTTTCCCATAATGCACTCTGGAAAGTTCCCTTTGTTATGCAAACACTATTTGTAAAATCAAGTTCAGATGAATCAATCTCACATTCAGGGACTTCACGGGCATTCTGAACATGCATAGGAGCCTCTGGGGGTTTTGCACCACGTTCCTCCAAAAGTTTGACAACATCATGATTTTTTGTAGTACAACGCATCAGCAAGAGGAGTGCTGCACCAACGATCTTGCGGATCAACTTCAGCACCTCTTTGAATCAACAACTGAACGACCTCGGTTCGGCCTTGACATGCGGCAATATGGAAAGCGGTGCGGCCGTCAATGTCTCTGAAATTGACGTCATAGCCGTCGTCTAAAAGCTCGTTGATTGCTTCAAAGTCACCTTCGTTCGCCAAATACATCAATCGAACTGTCGGATTCAACGCTACCGATTCTGGCACGTCGACGGCGCCGGAATCCTCACGGTCCGGTGCCGGAAAGGATTGTCTGACTAGAGAGAAGCGAGACTGAAGCTTATTGGTATCCATTGAAAACGCAAAGAATCAGAGAGATACCTGATTGCGGTTTAAGCCTGTTTTCTCTCTGATACGATTCCACATATTGTAATATTTGATAAACCTGGTCCAATCTCACTATAGACAGACTTGAATCATGAGGAAAAAGCAAGTGTGTATTCACAATCAGAAACTCTTGGTGAACACTGTATTTTTGGTTTTGATTGTGCCAACAGCAGCATTGACATCCTTTGGAACAACATCTCCACGGTACATCAAACAACAGGCCATGTATTTTCCATGCCTTGGGTCACACTTGGCCATCATACTTGCAGGCTCAAACACAGCATTGGTAATCTCAGGCACAGAGAGCTGCTCATGGTATTCCTTAGCAGCGGAGATAACAGGGGCATATGACGAAAGCATGAAGTGGATACGAGGATAAGGCACAAGATTGGTCTGGAACTCAGTAATATCAACATTAATAGCACCATCAAACCTCAACGAGGTAGTGAGGGATCATATAATCTGTGATATCAACCTGTTCAAGTTGGTGTAAGTAGGCCTTTTAATATCAAGGGATCTCCTGCAAATATCATAGATTGCCTCATTGTCCAAGAGCACAGCCACATCGGTGTGCTCAAGGAGAGAATGTGTTGAGAGAACACTGTTGTATGGTTCAAGCAAGCTTGATGAGTTGGTAGCCAACATCCCCAAGTCTCTCCTCATACATGTGAACTAGTTCTTCACTTCCAACCCAAAATTCCTGTAAGCACATAATAGAAAAAGATTCAGAAAGCAATGAATCAAGAGTCCTTTGATTCCTAGCCAACCAAAATGATCTGAAATCACTCTCTCTAAGTCCTTGATTCTGTGGATCAATCCGTTTGTAAATAGGAGCAAGGATATTAAAAGTAGTGAACGAAACACAAGATGAGTCTTTGTCAACAACATCCACCATTGATGAAAAGCAACCACTTTTATTAATCCTAGGAAACTCTCCATCACCGTTATTATTATTAACATTATGAGAAGAACAGGAACCACTGAAAAATTTGCAACTGAATCATCGGCCATCAATTTTGATTTTTGACATAATTCTCTGAATATCTGGATCAAACTTCTCATAGAACACTGCTTGATAAATCAATGAATTTCAAAACAAGACAATTTGATCTTGAAAAATCACATTTCCTGAGAAAATAGCCCACCACCACGGGTAACTTATGGTTGAAGCAAACTCTTGATAGTTTGACCAAGATGAGGTCAAACGTCCATCTGATTTAAACTTGAATGAATTTCTTTGCCATTAATCTCCTTTCAAAACCCTAAACACACAGAGAAAAAAAAAGAAACAAACAAATTGAAAAAATATTTTTGATATTTTGGTTAGATGTTAGTAAACAGAAACAAACATAAAAAAAAGTAAAAAAACAACAAGGGACCTGAGAGAAATCAAAAAGTATGGTCTTGTTTGTGGAATGATATGCAAATGAAATGTGGGATCTTAGGGGTAAAAATTAGGGTATTACAGATCCGAAGCATCTCTCCGAGGCTCAGAGTGCTGGGGCAGTTCATGTCAGACCATCAGGGTACAAATTTTCAGATTTCCATTTGAGGAATATCCCCACAGAGATCCCACAGACTAGGGCATATCAGAAGCGAAGGAATTGTTCCTCTCCGCGTCATCAGAGCTACTCAGAGCTACTCAAGCAGGTTCAGCCAATCTTCAAGTGTGAGACGAATGTCGGAAAGTCGTGCTATTATCCCTTGACCCTTCAACAAGAAACCGTGAATTCAGACAGGATGTTTTCCAGCGTCAGTCGTACTTGACCCATCACGGATATCCTAAAAGCCCAATTCCTATTGGCAATCGTCAGGAAGCCCAATCCTTATTGGCACGCCATTCCTAAAGCCCAATCCATATTGGCAATCATCGTGAGGCCCAATTCGTGTTGGCGCATTAGTCTTAAAATCCAATCTTCATTAATACGCAGGAAGACTCCGTCTGTTTTCCCCAGCGGAAGTCCAATTGTCATTGGCACGGGTAAGCTATCCCCAGGGAAGTCCAATCATACTTAGCACATTTGGTTATCCCCAACGGAGTTGGCTTTGTCTTCAACATTTATTTTGCTGAAGCGGTTCCGTATCCAATTTCTCCAGCAGCCCGAGCCTGCATTTGCATCTTGCATATATCATCATATTTGCATTTCATCTTCAAATGCGTAGCATTCCATCTTATATGGAGCATTACGTCATAGAAAAATTCAAACATACGAATATGCATGCGAAGCATAAGCCAGTTTTTCTATCAGCCTTCTATGGCAACGTGAATCACTCTGCAATCAGTTCAGGGGCATTTATCCAGCAGCTTTGTTCAGACAGCTCTTTGGTATTAGATTTTCAGATCATACGAAGGTTATGCTTTGTCCATCTATCATCTGATGACGACAGACTTTTCTTTCCGTCAATTCCTATTAACGACGTGTACCTCCGAGCAGGTTTTCTTCCCGTCATTTCCTATTGATGATGTGTTTCCCCAACAGGTGTTTTCTCCGTCTATCTTTAAATGTTATGAGTTTAGGTATGATGTTTTCTCTCCGTCTATCTTTAGACGTTGTGAGTTTGGGTATGATGTTTTCTCTCTGTCTATCATTAGACAAGGCGAGTTTGGGTATGGTTTTCTTTCCGTCTGTCTTTAGATGATGTGAGTATGTTTTCTCTTCCTGTCTATCATTAGACAATGTGAACCTTCGGGATGGTGTCTTTCCGTTTGTCTTTAGACGATGTGAGTATGTTTTCTCTTTCTGTCTATCTTTAGACAATGTGAACCTTCGGGATGGTGTCTTTCCGTCTGTCTTTAGACGATGTGAGTATGTTTTTTTCTTGCTGTCTATCTTTAGATAATGTGAACCTTCGGGATGGTGTCTTTCCGTCTGTCTTTAGACGATGTGAGTATGGATATTGTTCTCCTTCGGGATAGTGTCTTTACGTCTGTCTTTAGACGATGTGAGTATGGATATTGTGACCCTTCGGGTAAGTTTCTCTTCCTGTCTATCATTAGACAATGTGAACCTTCAGAATGGTGTCTTTCTGTCTGTCTTTAGACGATGTGAGTATGTTTTTTCTTCCTGTCTATCTTTAGACGATGAATATCCCCAGTAGAGTTTTCCTTGGATTGCTGTTACGTCAGCGTTAAAAAAATCTCATGGATTAAACCTATGGAGTTATTACCCGTGTTGACGGAGTTATTACCTGTGTTGACGGAGTTGTTACCCGTGTTGACGGAGTTGTTACCCGTGTTGACGGATTTGTTACCCGTGTTGATGGAGATGTTACCCGTGTTGACGGAGATGTTATCCTGTTGACGGAGTTGTTACCCGTGTTAACGGAGTTATTACCTGTGTTGACGGAGTTGTTACCCGTGTTGACGGAGATGTTACCCGTGTTGACGGAGTTATTACCTGTGTTGACAGAGTTGTTACCCGTGTTGACGGAGTTAGTCCCGTAGAGTTGTTCGTTCAAGTCTTCGGATGCCAGATTAGCACTTTTATTTAGTGCTTCGCTTGTTTCTTCGGAAAAAGATGCCAAGTTCGCGCTTTACATAGTGCAAATACCCGTAGTGTCGGAAATGTTTCTCGTAGAGTTGCTTATTCAGGTCTTCGGATGCCTGGTTCGCGCTTTACGTAGTGCTTTGTTCGTCCCTTCGAAGATGGAAAGTCAAGGATGGTATTTTGATGTGGTCCTATGGCTCGATGCCCGCTTATTGTAACGTGTAATTGTAGATTGATTGTTGTTGATCTAGTGTGTTGATTCAACGCCTGTGGCGCCACACAGTTGGTCGGTGCTAAAGTCAGTTTCTTTATCAGATGATTGATCAGTTTGTTGCCATGACAACTGGATTTAGTTTTCTGGATATTTTTTCCCCAAGCGGGGTTTGCAGTTTATTTCCGCGGTTGGAAAATTTCCGGGTTTCTTTGGTATTCAACCGTCTTCTACCTTTGGATGTTTGAAAGTCGTTCGCTTCTCAACCCTTCAGGTCCAAGCCGTTTGAATAGGGGCAGCTGTTGCACCCCAAAATTTGACCAACCATGTCTCGTTATTTGGCTTATGTTTCGACTCATTTTGCATTTTGTATCTGCATACCACATACGTTGCATTTTTTTAGTCAGATTGACTTTATCGGGATTGCAGCCTTTTCCTGGCGTTTCAGGTAGTGCAAACCAGTTCAAATAAGCAGGTTTTATTTTGGGAGCGGTGCTCCTCCCGGTGTTTTCAGCTTTTGTTGTTGTTTTTGAGGATATCTCGGTGTCCAATTTTTACCATTTATTTCGCTATATTCTCGCATCTTTTTTAATTGATTTAATTGATTTTCGTTGCATTTTCTAGATTTTTTTCCTTAATTTTTAACTTTAGAAAATAGATTTTAAATAGTTTTTAGAGGTTAATTGTTTTTCTAGAATATTAAATAGATTTTATTAGGTATTAATAGTTTTTCCTATTTTTCATAGGTTTTATTTCTACATATTGATTTGTTTAGAAATTTATAGATTTAATTTTTTTTAGAATAATTGATTTGTTTTAGAAAATTAATAGATTTAATTCCTAGATATTAATTGAGTTGTTTAGAATATAATAGGTTTTATTAATAGATTTTAATTTCTTTTTAGATTAGTTTAATTCTTTTTATAATTTAATAGATTTTAATCTCTTTTTTAGAATTAATTCTTAGATGTCAATTAGATTTTAATCAGTTTTAATTAGTATTCATTAATCAGGTCTATTAGTCATTAATTGAATTAATTGAGTCTGTTAAGCCATTAATTTCAGTCATTAAGTCTAAGTTTGGTGGGTCAGGTGTCGTTTTTGGGGGCCCACGAGTTCATTCAGCGCCACATGTCATAATATAAAAGCCCCCCACGTTTCTCTCTCTCTTTCCGCCACATCACACATCCACACGACGCCATGTTTCACTCCCACACGCTGCATGGCTGCCACGCAGCCTGCCAGGTGGCGCGCCCTCGTATCCCACA